TTCAAGCCAAGAGCACGCCGTCGACATTTACAACCAAGTATGCATAAATATAGTATGTATTCATATAGATAATATGTACATACGTATTGTAATAAGTCGAATCAATTATGGCACTCGCCCTCGCTGGCAGCAATCAGGCAACAAGAAACACGCACACACAAAAACACACACACTAATCGACCCACAGCCAACCACAGCAACAGCAACAACACCACACAACAGTTGATTATTATAGCAATTATGTACATGCAAAGCAAAATGCACTCAGGGATTGATTTAAAGAAACCAAAACACCAAAGTAAACCAAAGACAAGGAACTTTGATGCAGGCCTAATGCAATGCAATGCAATGCAATGCGCTTTCCATTGCCCAGCCTGGTTAGTACCTATTGTAAAACGAGAAACCAAGTAGAGACATAGTTTTTGGAAATGTTCTTATATATGTATATGTACCATCTTCGAGGATCAACAAGCCAGCATACATACATACATACATATATATACAATTATGCCAAATACACATTTTGTATCGACAGCAATTAACCGGAATGCTTTCACTAAAAGCAGAATTCAAATTTGAACAATCGTCAGCGTTACGGTGAATACATATTCAATTAGCTAAAAGTACAGTCTACTCAAAAGTTACCCTTGAAGAGAGCTTAGGAGAGATTAGGAGTTGTCAGTATGGAAATACACCCCAATACTAGGTAAAGCTATACTCAAATCTACGGCCAGGCCTCCTAATCAGCTCAGCAAGAGAAACCCAATCGAATAACCCAAGTTATGCCAAGTGTTCCTTTCTCAAAGAATATACAATACAATATATAGGCGAATACTTTTCGAAATATTTGAATATTTGTAGATAAGTCTCAAGTTCTACGAGTACATTGAAAAATTAAAACCAACTGCAAAGTACTTAAAACTAGTATCCCAATTGAATCTATAACATAACATAACATTTCAAATTTTTGCCATGGCTTTAGAGTTAAAAAGAAAACTTAAAAAATACGAAAAGGTTAAGAAAATTAGCAAGAAATTGGTTAGATGTTGCTAAATTAAATTGTACCTTAATGAAATTCTGCGATTGAATCTTTCCTAGCGTAGCACTAAACTAAATCTTAACAAAATCAAATTCCTTATAGTTATTAAAGCATATACACGGCGGAAGATGATAATTCAATTAAAGAATGATCAGATTGATGCCATCGTGGCACAAAATGCCCAATTTAGTTAAGCTTTTCCAAATACGAATTACAAAATTAAAATCAAATCTTTTTGTATATATAAGAGATGTACGAGGTAATACATTTAATTGGTAATAATTAATAAAAGGAAAAAACAACAAAACATGCAACATACATACGTATGTGTGTATGCTTTCGTTAAAAATAATCCCTTAGCTCGATTTTGTGTGTGTGTTGTGTTTGTGCTTAGAGAGAGAGAGAGAGAGAGAGAGAGAATCTACACTGTGGATCACTTTTGGCCAAGAAAATCTGACTAGGCAGTTACTGTATTATCAGCTTGCTGTTCTTCGCGTTCGATATATACTTCGCTTTATACTGATCGAACATCCTATCGAGGTCCTCCATCACTTGTCCATGTACTTTGTCCACATAGGCGGCATCCGGCTGATCACTCTTTACCACATCGATAGGGGAGCCAACTGTGGAATAAATGTGTATCCATATTAAAGAATATATTATACAGGGACTCAGCTGACACTCACCAACTTGGACGATGCGACGGCGTTGGGGCAGAAAGCCAAATGAATAGTTGAAGATGCCACGACCCATTGGAATTAGCGGGGATATCCCCGTCAGTTTCTTCACCACAGACTGAAAGCGGCGGAGCAGGGAGTCCGGCGGATTGGCCACTTGATTGAATATATCCACCTCACCAAAGGAAAACGTGGGCACAATAGACGAACTGGATGGAGTAGGAAGTTTAGTTAAATACAACAAATTTCCAGCAATAACTAACCCCGTTCGAATGGCCATTTTAACGAATCCCTTGCGGTTCCTCAGGGTCAGAATATACTTTCCCGGATGCGAGTCCATGGCCTCTTGTGCGCCACCCACAAGTATGGCCACTGCATTGGATGAGAAGCCATCGCGATTGTCGGGATGCTTCGGATCATTCGATTTGGTTAGCAATCGGACCAGGGACTCCTTGGACACCGACACCATTCCCCACCAGCGCACAATGTCACGGAGAAGCGGTGTTCGAAAGTGTTGATCCAATGTAGCTACCTTTGGTCGGATCTGGGGAAACAACTCCAGCCATTTGCTGATGTCCAGTCCCATGTTTACACAAGTGCCAGTTCTATTGCAGTAATCGTTTGAAATGCAGTTCTATGCCTCGATAAGATTGGCTATCTGTTGGCTGTCTTACCCGAGTATTCCATGCGGAAAGCTGGCCAAAATGTAGTTTCTATTTGGTGGCAGGTCGACTGTCTTTACCAGCTCCACGGGAAAGTAGTCCCGATAGTTCCTATAAACTCGATTAGCACGGTTTATCATCCAACTGAGGGATACTTGGAATGATTATCTTTACATTATCCTTTAGTTACACACTTACCCATTGCCTTCCAAGATGGAGTAGTTTCTCTTGTGATCCACATAAATGTAAACAAAATAAACGAGCATCAAGGTGCGGATAAAGATGCCGCCATAAAACTGCGAATGGTAAAGCAATGTGACAATGACAAGTTGAACAATTTCGGCATGTTCTGTTGGTTACCATGATGACTGCAACAATGAGGCAGGCTAAAAGGGGCAGCGTGAAGAACGTGAGCGTGAGCACCGCTGTGACCAAGGTTTGCAGGCGGCGCGCCAATGGAACGCGTAGGGGAGCCCACTCGATTTTCATTTTATATATTGCCTAGCAGTTCAATGGTACACAAAAAAATAAATAATACCGTGTATTAGCCAGCGACTCTTTCGACGGCTCTCCAGCAACTAATTGACAGCGAACCAACGACAAACTAATTTCAATATACTGATACTGTGCTGATACTTATCCTTATCAACGAAGCAAGCCAGTCGTCTACGCGTGCTGAGGGCGGGGCGTTGCGGCAAGCCCCACTTCAGGGAGATAAAGATAAGTATTGAGAATTGACCAAGTGTCTAGGCCCTTGACATAGACCATCAGAAAGTGTAGTAAGATTTAGCGATAACGCTCGGATACCCTGATTACGGCGACCCACTCCACTTCGATTTATGTGCACAAATTATAGTCAAATTATCGTTTCATTTATCATTACCAACCATTTAATCGTGATTTCCCTGTGGTGACTGATTAGGAAACCCGATTCTGCTGGACTTTAAATTGGCGCATTCCAAATCATGTTTCTAGGCTTGAAAACTGTTGGCATGCCCGAAGTCATCTTACGACCTTTAAGAGTTGAGAGAGTAACACTTTCGGACTCTGGTTCGCAACAGACACGCTGCGATCTATGCGTAGCTACACAATGGTGCTTCCTTGATAAGAAGTTCTGTTCAGTTTCGTGCATTCACAGTTCGCTACGGATTTGTGGCGGTCTTATCAGGCAACCGCCATCCCGGCTGGGCATATGCTGATTCATTCAGAGTTGTTACAGTCTCTGATTGAAAACACTGCACTGTAACTGACGTAAGCACACATACTCGTAGAGTACAATTGGAACTGGTTCTAAAAAAACTCTAATCACTCTTAATCAACAACAATGACAAACTTATGGAAATATACCACTTGAAGTGCATTGTGCATTTGGATAGTCAGTACCGCTCATGTTTTGGGTGACATATTCACACGATTTGGAGGCAATGCTCAACAATTTGCTTATTGACCCCGTCCCGAGAACGTTATCGCATTTCAATAACAGAATCGATATAGCTGGCGTACAATTTTCAACTAACCAAGCGCGACGTGTTTGAGGCAATTTAATTGCATGCACTGGCATGTACATGCAGATGTGTGCAGGTGAGATTTCAAGTGCACCAAGTGCTTATTTGGTGAGTAATTTAAATATATTTTAACTTTAATATATATATTAAAACACAAAAATCTAGGTAAACATTCGGTTTCAATTCAGCCAAATAAAATGATAGTGCTGAGCCTTCGAACTTCGCGCGCATTGATTGAGCATTTCAAGGCGGAGAGCTTTTGTCAGAATGTGATTTATAGCAGGGCATCGATTATTTGTATGGCATGGATACTGTGCAAGCGAATACGCGTAAAGTAACGTATTGATGTTGTTTGAAGACGAGATGCGAAATGCTTCTTATCCCCCACAAGAGTTAACGCTATCCTGGTACCATCCTGCGGCTATATAACTATGGCGCCCAATGATGCGAACTCTCGGGTACTTAACTCATCGTGCGAAATTATGTCTTTAGCTCTGAAAACTCTATCAAGGTAGTAATATTATACAGAACAACAAAATTAAGCAACATGACTATCCCCGGTATATTTCCGGTATATTTTGAAATTTCTACAGAATATTTCGGTATATTTATAAGGTATTTTGTTTCTCTCCCGCAGCATTTGAAATTTAATTGCAGCAATCTCCCAATCCCGTTCAAATTACTTTCCCGGTTAAGTTTTTACCGTTGGCAACATCAATAAATGGGCCAGCAAAGTGTTGTCAAATTCAACCCCCCCTCACGTAACTTTTCATGATAATTTTGTTGGATAACCTCTTAAGTTCTTAATATATTTTGAAGACAATCCAATAAAAGGAAGTCATAAAAAGCACCCAATCTTGTGGAAAATAAAATGATGATTCGCGTAAAACTATAATTTTAGAGTTGAGAGTCCTAACTAACTGGTAATATTAAACAGAAGACCAAAATCGAGAAAAATGATTCATGATTTTCGGTATATTTACGGTATATTTGGAAAATGCGAAGGCATTTTTTGGTATATTTCTGAGGGCGAGACAGTATTTTGTACCGCCTAATTCCCGGTCACACTTCTCCGCGCATGTATAAAACTCCAATATAAATAACGGGTCTCCTCACAATTTTTCAAGTCGCCGTGTAAAAGTGAAGTGTCCCCGTGCTCGATAAAGGCTCTAAGCAGAAGATAATTTAAGTAAAAAGTTCAAAAATCCATACAAATACAATATGAGGGAAATCGTACACATCCAAGCTGGTCAGTGCGGCAACCAGATCGGAGCCAAGGTATGTTAACTGCTATATATTGTGGGCATGCTATTTTACTCTTAGAAGATGGATCAATTAAGTACAGTTGCCAAAATGGCGTCATTTTTTGCACTGATGCCCATGTGGCAAAAATTATTGAGGCCGCCGGCATTTGCTTACAACAACACACACACCGAGAATTATGTATACATAAAAATGTATCGTGAGTACCGGCATCTGTGTCCGTCTGCTCCCCGAAATGATGCTCGCTCCCCCTTGCAATTGTCCGATGATCTGTGTAGAGTGCCTCTAAAAACTCCGACACGCCCAAGATCTCTGGGAGCCTGTCTTTGATGTGCCTGTAATTATAGTTTTGGGTGTGTCTGCAGTTACATTCATCTGCACATACACAGAAAAATGAACGCTTGCCTATGCATGAGTCATTTTCACTCCAACAAATACTTTCTCAATTTTCCCCTTGAATGTGAAAGCAACTCTTGGGCTAACAGATGGTGAAGGGCTTCATAGGCTTACAGCTCACATACATACACATGTATACATTTTCTACCAGTTCAGTTGCCGGTTTTTGCCGCTATACTTCTAAAGAGAAAACATGACGTCATTTTAACCTAAAATGGCTGAACCGGTCTGTCGGTGACCGGTCGTATAAGAGAGACATATTTTGTGTATAAGTATGTACTCATTCTATCGATCTGTCTATGTGTTTTGTGTGTACATACTTTTGTGTGTTCATACAAATCGCTATTTTGGCACTCTTGGAGCGGCTTTGGCTTCTATCTTATCTTGCATGAAAACATTTTCTATTTTTTATTCATGACGGTCCATACACATACACAATCGCACTTTACTTCATCTGTATAAGTGTATGCAAGTGGAAAATCTGCATTGCTTGTGTGGAGAGGCAGAAATGCAACTTCGGTTTATTTTTATGAGCGAGAAATTGTTCAGCTGCAGAGGCGGCGAAAATGGGGGTGACCATATAGAGGAATTTACCGCATACTTCGCGAACTCTCTGTGTCTCCATATTTTCTTCTGATCTCACACACACATGGAAACAAGGGCGGTGCTGCACATGCGTGCGAAAAGGACTGGAACGGGGAAAATTGATGACGAATCCTCTGTGTCATCGTCTCCTTCTAGTCCTTTCCGGGAAAATCAATAGGCGTGTCCTGAAAACAACCCCTGAAAAGCCTAAAACTTCTGGCAGCTGCAACATAACAATTGTTGTGCTAAATGTAAGACTGTATGTGTGTGTATCAGGGACGACGCTTAAAGAGGGTCGGCGAACGGTATGTATGTATGAATGCACATGTAGAAGAGGTACCACACAAACACTCGAAAATACTTATTTTTATGAATGTCGACCACGCAGTTTTCGGTGTATGCTTGTATGCAAGTACATCCAGTCCTCGCCTTTCTATCGACTTATTTTACTTAATTATTTTATTTGTTTACTCGACGTAAACAACGAACCAAACTTTTTTGTCATTCGCGGTGACGCAATGCCCTGAAAATAGTCGATTTATGCGCCATATGGTCGGTACGCTGAGCCAGAGTTGCAGCTTAACCTCAACCACCGCCAACGCCATTGCCTCTCGCCGTCTGGCCTAAATGTGTGTGTGGGCTGTGTATGTATGTGTTTGTGGTTGCCCCCGCGCCGGTGATGTAAGCGCACTAGGGGAAATGTATGAGGAGGAGTAGGAAGGGGGCAGAAGGAAAGCCAAGCCAAACCTGAGGTCGACCTGAATGGTGCGTGGGGTGTCAGGGAAACGGTGACTGGGCGGGGCTGATATTTCCGCCGCCGGCCCACACTGACAATTGCAGAGTCCAATGCCAGACACGACAACGACAGCTGCGCTCCGAGCTGGGCCCACGCCAGATGACGTTATCGTTGACGACGCCGGTGTCTGTGTCGGCGGAGTCTCATGAGCCAAGCAACGCACCAAAAATGGCATCTCCTGAGATATGTTAATCAGAGCTCGGCCCATACATAGGTACACAGACATAAAAATACATACATACATACCATTGTACATTAAATTTAGCGCAGATATCTCGAATGTCGCAAGACAGTCCCATCAATCAATCAATACTTCTGCATTTGATGAACTAAATTGTTAATTATGAATTTTCTTTTGCTTCTTTTCTTAATAGTTCTGGGAGATCATCTCCGACGAGCATGGCATTGACGCCACCGGTGCTTACCACGGGGACAGCGACTTGCAGCTGGAGCGCATCAATGTGTACTACAATGAGGCGTCCGGAGGCAAATATGTGCCCCGCGCCGTCCTTGTCGACTTGGAGCCCGGCACCATGGACTCTGTTCGGTCCGGCCCCTTCGGCCAGATCTTCAGGCCCGACAACTTTGTTTTCGGACAGTCCGGCGCCGGCAACAAC